GGAACATTACAGCTCTTTACAAGTGAAGAAACCCTTCTCAAAATAGAGGCAAACACAGTTTGGTTTTCATTTTTTGAAAGCATTTGGCTACTATCACTCTGTGTGCTACAGCGTCAATTCAACGAAGACCTTTCAAACGTCTCTTTCTGTTTCAATGCTGTATTTGTCCTGTCGACCACAAGACAAATGAAAACTGGTAGTGTGCATTCATATTTAAAATGCTACTACTTAGTGGGAAACACAATATGGTTCAAAGCTGTTACTGGAGAAAAGTTAATTTTGCTTATACAATCAACACAGCTTGGTTGATTCCCAAGCATGATGGGGAATCATTTAAACAAAAATGATTTGTTTAAAAATCTTAGTCCCACGTCTGCAAAACATCTGTTCATAACTGCCCTCATCCTCCGAATTCACCTATTAAATGCAGCCTCTCACAATGTTCTGTTATTTTCACTTTGTTTCAAGAAGGGTAGAGGCTTCAGGAAAAGGTGTTCTTGTGGCTTGAGGTTTTTTTCTCCCGTTTTTTAAGACAAGACACGCTCCCAACGGTGGTCTGATGGAGTATGCAAGTTAAGTTACACAGCCTTAATACCACCTGTTTATATTTAAGCATCCAAAAACAACTTTGCTAGGAAAATATGCATTCAGTATCTCAAAGGGCCCTATGACAGGAAGGAATGTGGAATAAAAACCAAACAGGTGCAAAAACAGCAGAAGAGAAAAGACGATCATCACGTTCCTGACAGAATCACATCATCAAATCCATACCGCTGTATGATCATCGAGTTATTTCGTGTGGGTGGCTGGTTTAAAACGAAGTGGTAAAAAATAGTTTAGCATTATCCGCGGCACCTTTTTTGCGATAGATTCCCAGTACCTACTGACGAGTGTCCTTTCGCAATACCGAACGCCGACCTCCTCCCGTGCGAGCGAGCTCAGCCTGCCACGGCCGAGCCTTCGCGGAGAACGAAGCGCCGCCGCCGCGCGGCCCGTGCAGCCCCGACGCCCGCTCGGGGCAGTGCCGGGCTGGGGCTGCGGCAGCGCGGGGCCGGGGCGGCCCAGCCCCGCGGCAGGCGCGGCCCCTCGCGCTGCCGCCGGGCGCGCACGAGGGCTGCGGGGCTCGGCTGCGTCCCCGATCCCGCCCGGCCCGGCGGCGAAGGGTCGCGGCGGTGGCGGCGGCACGGTCCCCGCCCGCCGCCAAGATGGCCGAGCGCCAGCCCCACAATGCAGCCACCTCGCCGGGCGGGCGGAGCGGGAGGCTGCAGCGCGGTACCGGCCACTGAGCCGGGGGACTCCCCTCGGCACGGCCGCGCTGGGTCCCGAGAAAGCGGCCGGCAGCAACAGGGCGCGGCGACCCTGGGGCGGGAAACGGAACCTTCCGGTCGCGCGGACCGAGCCCGCGGACCCCAGCCGAGCCCGCGGACCCTCATCGCCCGCCCGGCGTCGGGGGCAAGATGGAGCCTTCCCGGCGCACCCGCCGGGCGCGGCGGCCCGCGGAGGCGGGAGCAGAGGCTGCCGCTTTCCCGACCGCACCGCCGACCGTCCCGCCAGTACCTGCACAGGGGCGGAAGGCTTCGTGTCGGTAAGACTCTGGCGTCAGCTCAGCGCAGGGTCGGGATGCTGCGGGGCGGGCTCTGCGGGCGGACGCTGCGGCGGCCGGTGCCGAGCTGCGCACGGCCGATACTCCGCGCTCTCCTCACTGTCTCCCTCTAGCTCCCACCGCTATTTAAGCAGTCGCCACCTCCGGCGGCCACGCCACATGGGCTGACAGTTTACTCCTCGCCGCAGTCCAATGAGAGCCGGGGCAGGGCCGCCCCGAGTCGGACCCGGGGTGATGCCAACCCCTGCCCGCCGGAGTCGCTCCACGGGAGGAGGGGGCCCTGACCAGTTCTCGGGTCGGACACAGGCGGGTCCCCGTGCCCACGGCACCGGGCCAAGCTGTCGCGCCCCGCCCCGCACACTGGAGGCCGTGGAAGGCTGGGCGCTGCGGGGGTGCCTGGCTTCGGGCCGGGCTGGCCGGGGGCGAGGCAGCGCCGACCCACCGTAGGCGCGGAGCTCTTCGTGTCCCTCTCCCACCTCCCCGCGGGTGTGCACACTGTGGGGGGGGGTACGGCCGCGCCGGCACCGTGGCTCGGCGACTGATGCGGAGGCTCGGCGGGCGCCGGTCCAAGCGCGGCCGGATCGCGCAGCGCCCGCACAAAGGGACGCGGGGCCGGACGCGCAATCTCGGGCCGGCACCCAATGCGGGGGCGGGGACGCGGGGGCGGGGGCGCGGCCCTGCCAATCGCGGCGCCCGCGCGGCGTTGCTATAGGCGATAAGGCGATGTGGTGACGGCGGAGGGGCGTTCGGGGCCGCCGGCAGAGCGAGCAGCGCCCGCTGCTCTCCGGCGGCGGCGGTCGTTCACCCCAGCGGAGCGCGGTGCCGGGGTTACCACAGGGCAGCCGGCACGCCGGCCAGGGATGCTCTGCCCCGTGCCCGGGACCGCCGCGCGGCCCTCACTGGCGGCAGCAGAGCGGGTCCGGAGGCGGCGGGCGTGCCAGGGGCTCCCTCCTCGCCGTGCCCCGGTACGCCCCTCTTCCACCGGCGGAACGGGGCGGATCTCTCGGCTTGCAGACACCTTTCATCCACTTCCCCAGTAACTTACACACCTTCAATTAAAGCCAAAGAGTCAACGAATTTCAGTTTTCTTCTTTATTGCCTACGACTCCAACACAAAAATATCCTTCCTGCCTTTCGGTCAGCAAACACGGGCCCGAGCGCCGAGACGCCGAAAGCCCCCACCTCACCCCTGGTCCCGGGGAGACCCGGCTCCGGGCACAGGCCCCGCTCCCAGTGGCGCCTGCGCTGCCACTTGGCAATACAGCTCCATTCCGACCTTCTCGGGGCAGACCTTTTGCCTTTATCCATATATTCCTCAGCATAACAGTTTTTTAGCCCTTCGATAAGAAAAATCAATAATTTACTCTTTTACCTTTTCAGTACTCTATGACCAGCCTGAATTCTCTTTTTTGTAGGCACTCATTTCTTTGTATCCACAGTAGTACCTTGTTTCCACTCTTCTCATCTGGTTCTTAAGAATCAATGCCCAATTTATTAAATATTTTGATCATAATATATGAGAGTTTTCCTGCTGTATTCAGTACACCCTTAGCACAACCTCCCCATGCAGGATCCAAGCAATACGGTCATGTTATTTATTATTATGCATACTTTGTTAATTTTCACCATACAGGGTATGTTCTTACAGTTACTCTGAAACAAACGTACAGTGATTTAACTGCTTTTTTTTTCCTATCACAAGTAAAATAAAATTAAACACCCAAGAGCTATCATCTTCACTTACCTACAGTTGACTTAAGGAAACCTGTTTCTCAGGGAAACTGAATATATTAAAGCTGCATTTCTGGCAAGAGGTCTGCATGACCAGGCATGCCAGGTGACTTACTGGGGTCAGGGGAAGGGGGACACACCACCAACCACAAAAAAACCACAAAAAAAAAGAAAAAAAACCACTCAGAAAACCCTCAAACAAGCAAACAAACAAAAAAACCCATAAAAACCTGCATAGAAACCTATACAAAAGCATTTCTGAAGTCTGCAGCCCATGAGCTTATATCCATGATGTAAGGAATAAAGAGTAGTGTTTTCCAGGCTTACATGCAGTGTTACAAAGATTAAGGAACAAACTGCTCTTTTACACTGCTTTTAACACCTGTAAATGCACAGAATCTCATACAACTGAACTATTGTGCATCTCCACAGTTATGGAAATAAAAATAATTTTTCAGGCTAATCTACAGCTATTAAAAACTTCAGAATTTACACAATGAGTTCTAGAAATAACCAGTGAGTGCTTTAACTGGTGTGATCAGGGCCAAAATTCCTGTACTTGTTAGAAACCACTATGCTTTGAGCTACAGAAAGAGCTTATTCAGGGCCTGGTTCAAGGGAATGCATCATGTCGTTCTGGCTCATGAACAATGTTGAATCTAATGACAGGATTTTCGAGTAACAAAAAGATTTAGAAAGACGCTCACAAGGTCTCTCAGGCCTCATATTGGCTTGGTAACATCTCATGAAATTTACTGCAGATTTAGCATCTGATCATAATATCACAGCACCTTTGCACTAAAGCAAAACATTTTCAGCAGGTACTAGTAAACAATTATTCAAATTCTCAAACTGATTTCTACCACTTTGTCAGATGCCGATGAGAGCACCTGTTTGCAAGAGTACCAGAGAAGCATTTCTAAAAAGAAAAGCGCTACAGAAAAAAAAGACATTCATGGGTAAGAGGCTCTCTTCCTGTTTAGATTTTATGTGTTTAGCAGCAACTGAGAAGTATTATTCACTTCAGTGATACCACTCACAGACTCAAAGAATCTCTTACGTTGGAAGGTACCTCGTGAGATTACCTAGTCCAAGCCCTCAGCTCCAGGGTCATCTGGAACAGGCTGTCCAGGACCACATCTAGTTGGGTTTTGATTATCTCCATAGACAGAGACTCCATAAAAAAAGTTTTTTATTGAATTCTTCAAGTGTATTTCCTTTACGTAAAGTTCATCACTGTAATATCCCAAGACTGTAGCAAATGTGGATAGAGCCTTCCCAAATCTTCGTTCGCGAAGCCTCGCCATGAAATATCCCAAGACAGCTCAGCATTACGGAAATGTTACAAAAATACATTCATTACTTGTTTCAATGTCCTGGTGTGTTCATTGCTACAGAGATATCCTTTCTTACATCCCAACTAACTCAAGTTTCTTTTAGTTTTATGTTTTAAGACTTATATCTTACAGTGCGTCTGGTATGATTCCGAGGGTATGATTCTAACTCATTAGCAGTGTTTTTCACTGCTTTAATGTCCATGCAATCTCATGTCAAGGAAAAATATAATTACTAGTGTGACAATAGAGATTTAATTTTATACTCTCATTATGTCTGAACAAGTGGAAGGAGCTACAGAATATGAGAAACAATACAGACTCAGGTGTAATCTTTTCAACCCCTTTACTTTCAAGTAGAAAGATAGCTGCACAGGATTAACGGTTGCATTGTTAATTAGAAGAAAACAAGTAGGTTGAGGCATCCCACTGCTAAGCTTAAATCACATCTACAGTTTCTCAACAAAAAATTTGCTAAAGACCTGGAAGCCCTGCCTGAAGGCACAAGGCTTTACCTATGTGTTAACTGGGCATTTCTAAATCCATGATGCAAGCAAAATTTAACACATATAATTAAAAGAAATCAGTATTAACAGTGAAGACTGTAATCTCATAATGTACACACATTAACCCTTTATTTCAGGGGGCACTGTGTGAAACGGGGTATTTGTTCTCCCTTCTGGCTGCAAATAACTCAACATACAAAAATGAAGCAAATATTTAGATCTGATTTAGAGACTTCAAAGTAAATTAATAGCAACTGTGGATCTGGAACCTGCTGCCAACATAGAAATCAGTCTTTAATATTATAGTTGCGGATTTTTGCCATGTTAGAAGAGATTTTTGGTTTTAATGGATGAGCACAAGATAAATTCCTGGATTTTAACTTCTGCTGAACTTCTAGCCTTGTTCCTCTGACTGTCAAATCTCCAGCTGGCACTTCAAATTTATCCTTGGCTTTGACATTTTGCTGAGATTCTTCAGATTGCTTGGTTGAATGTATAACTTCCAATTCCACTGCTCAAAAAAATACAGAAAAATACTTTGTAGTTATGTTTGTATTTAATTATGAGACTGGATAGATGAAGAGAACTGGTTTACTCTTTTCCTCTAAATACAGCTGCGATAGTGCTGTATTGTGACAATCTTATATTAACAGAATCACTTCTGTACATAGGAGGCCCAGAACTGTCCATTAAGGTGTGCTCTACTGATGGTGTAACACATCAGCATCTCCTGCTCAATCCTCGCTCCGTCTGTAGCTGTTCATCTCCATTAGCATCAGACTGCTTAAGAGAGGAAGACAGCTGGGAGGTTGGTGTGACTGTTGAAGTTAAGCACTACCTATCTGTTCAGCTGTTTCTAAACATCACATTTTACAAGTTTACCCTTCTCTCCATTGTGAGAGAATATGTTTGGGTATGCATGATACAAAAGGCTCAGAGGCAATTCTGTTGGCTTGACAAAGCTGCACTATTACCATTACCTTTTGGGGCTTTTTTTTGATCTTCTCTCACAGAGGAAGGCATTTACTGTGGAAATCTTTGATTTTGTTGTCTAAAATATCTTGTCTGTAATAGAGAGAACTAACTCAAAAAGTAGTATCTTTGGATGGGAAGCAGTGGGACTGGTCCTAATATCAGCCAGAGTCCATCCTGCAGCTTCTCACATAATTCTCTGAAAACCATTATGTCCAACTAACTGAACTTTAGTCTTGTCACAGGTTTCATTAGGTAAGATAAGTGTAACTGGTCAAAGTATTCACTATAAGCTATAGGTAATATTTACAGGTGTTTGGCTCCAGCCACTTAGTCCTTATTTTTCAAGGCACTAAGACGTCACATTTTCTATGAAAAGCCAAAGCAGACGGGAGGAGTAGTCATAATATATTTGGGATAACACACACTACAGCATTCTGTACCAGTTTAAATTATGAGCACCACAGGCTGCAGTCCCAGAGACTATTCAATCACAGAGCAAAATAAAAGGCACACAAACGGACAAAGAAAAGTTATTAGTAGGGGAAGGTAAATTTTCAAAGTCAACTGGACATGGTGAAAAGTCCAAACAAAATTTAACATGGAAGAAAATAAAAAATATTCCTGAATTCTGGAATGAATTGATCTATTGAAGGTTTATAGCTCTATGCAAAGCATGACACTGTGGCTAGTGTCAAAACATGACATTTTTCAAAATAATTTTTATATTCAGGCTTAGCTTGAACCAGCTGTTCACTCATGTGTGTCATCTCTGCATGGAGTCAGCTTAGTGGCATTTGTTATCACAGGTGGCAAAGACTCAGTGGGCTCTTGCACTGTGGATGTGAAATCCTGTTGTCCAGCTTGCCACCTAGTGGCTTCCTACAGATGTAGAAGGTATGGAAGAGCATGCTTGAACTCATGAAGATCTTTGAGTGTATTTTTCTACCTGGAAAATGGACTTTATTCATTATAGTACCTCTACCACATCTGGCAGATAATAATGCAGAATTTCACAACATAAACCATTTAGAACAGTACAGGCAACTGTGTCTGAAAGGTACTGCTTCAAGGATTATCTTCTTGAACAGGAACAACAGCAGAATGATATTACCTAGCACTTGTGATCTAAATAACAGCAATGAGCAAATCCATAAATAGCACACACTTACTGCTTACAGACAGTCTGTTTTTTTAAATATTCACTCAGTTTTCAAGGGTGTTTTGTATTCAATAAAGGGGATGATTTTCAGAAGTTAATGTGGGACGCCCTAATCCTGTAAATCCAAAGGCAAAGTAACCATCCACCAATGCATCACATACATCCCTTCCTCTGAAGACTTCTGTATGCTTGTCTCCTGTCATTCATAGAGAAACTACAGTTGTAACTAGTAAAGGCTAATTTAGGTGTTTGGAACAACAACACAGGACACGAGTATTCTATAAGGCTATTTTAAAAAGTTTTGAACTGCCAAAAATGTGTGCTAATGTACGGTTATTTCCAAAAATGGAAAAAGATGAAGAATCAATACCCCAGAATGAGAAATACTACTTAAAGTGAAACATCCTAAGAGAATACTGAATAAAGACCTTACTGTATTGCTGGTTCTGCTCGGGACTGTTCACATCTGTGAGGGACCCTGAATAAGATCAGCATGAATATGCACTGTACAGTAAAATTTGAATGCAGTAGCTTGGTTTTCACACCAATGAAAAAACACACCTAATTTACAAGCCTGAAACTTACTTTCAGAAGTGACCTTGGCAACCAGAGCTAGCAAGATCATAGTTAAGCACCTAACCTGCTTTTGGAAATGGAACTAAATGTTTAGTGTATTGAAATGCTTAACATCTTTTCAATTTGATGTGTGTTAACTTTGGTCAGAAATTAATATTCACAGAACTTTTTTCTCAGGATGAAAGAGATATATATAGACATGTTCTATGAGCAAACTGAAATTTCCCCAGACGGAAAATTTCATTTAACAAATTTGTCACTAGATATTTGCTTATGGCTAACAGTGTTTCTGAAAGAAACACCAACTCAAACAAGTTCCTATTCAGGAGAAGAACATGTAAGTGAAGAAAATGTAACTAGGAGATTAGTTAATATTTGTGAAACACTTCAAAGATGAAGTTTTATGTAACGCAGAAAAGAGATCATGAGTCTGTCTCTGATTGGAGCCGGAATGAAGCCAGAGCCAGAGCACTCTTTCTGTTTGTTAATATTTCACCAGATTCTTTCTCTGGCCAGCTTTTTACCCCCATGGATTGCTCTTAGAACTGTCAATGATGTCAAAGCTGTTGAAATTCTGTCTAGTGTGGAAACACTTAAGATAACTTTTGATCCATAAAGTGTGGCATTTCAGACCACAGAGCTTTGCAAGTAACAATGAGAATTATAGCAGAAGAAACTCCCCTAAGCTCAAGTAGCAAACCAGAAAAGTTACTTTGCCTCAAAGCAGCTCATTCCTATTCTTTGTTAGGCTACAATGTAAACGCCAATTAGTAAACCCAGGACACATACTGAGTACCTGTGGAGGTGGGGTTTCTCAAAATGTAGAGTGGGACATGAAAATACAAAGTTTCATCTACCCCAAACGTGTATAAATCCAGTGTCTAATGAGAACACAGCTTGCCTTACGCCCTTATTCCCTCTGCACTGACCCCAGCCTCTGCTGACCCCACGAGATACAGCTGATACTGATCTGTTCACACGGTACCACACAGGGCCCTTCACAGTACTGGCTTTATGCTAAATGCAGTCTTAGAGTTGAACTTTAATAGGTGATGTTTGCTTTTTTTTCCCCAAAAAACTAGTGTCTCCAACAGCAAATAATAACTTTATTAAGCTAAATTACTCAAAGAAAATCAATTTCAGTTTTCTAAATGTTTTACAAAGCTTCCCCTCCTCCTGCCTAACAGTTACTCTGAAATCTAAAAAGGTCCAAAAGCCCACTGGTGAATGGAGAAAACTTGCAGCAGACATACATCACCTGATCACCTGGCTGTACATGTGTGCCATGATTTTCAGAGGAAAGCAGACAACTAATCTGATAAGCAACTTTCCTTTGAGGGTGGTTTGTCATTGGCATTCAAGACACGCATGATGTGGATCACCAACCAAAATCTTTCACCTGCTCTCAGCCTCTGGCATAGAGTATTTAAAAAGGAAAGAAATACAGAAGCATATTTCTTACTAGTACAGCCTATGTATCTTATGGAGCCTTTTGTTATCATCATGGCTTGTACCTGTCTACCTCTGTAGCAGGTTCTTTTAATAATATGGAACATTCGGCAGGAACCTATGTTCCTTCTAAATACCTGCTCTCTAGTTATCTACAGAATTAACATATAAGCTATTAAATCCATTTCATTTCTACAATATAAACTGAAAATTAGCAAGTAGAGTAAAGAGAGAGAAAATTAAAATATCTCATAGCCTTTTGACTTGCTTGGAAGTTTATACAAGTTCTGAATTTGATGGTGAAATGAATAAAGTCTATAACAGTATACTTCAGTAATTCAGTATTAAGATGTAGTCATTAACACTTCAAAACACACTGAGCATTGAGTCATTGCATTATGTCATATGCTGGAAACAGAGCAAATCGCAGGGCTTACTTGACATGCCAACCATTTTGAGTGCCAATAGGATGTTCCGTACATGAAAAAAATGAATCAAACTGTGTAACAGGTTCAGAAAAATAATTTTCGTGCTACAGTTCTCTGTTTCACCAGAAATGTCCCTAAAACATAGCTATTGATATAATAAATTTGGACAGAGTGAACTTGGAAGTGGTGGATTCTCCATCCCTGGAGGTTTTTAAGATGAGACTGGATGTGGCACTTAGGGCCATAGTCTGGGAACCACAGCGGTAGTGGATCAAGGTTTGGACTTGATGATCTCAGAGGTCCCTTCCAACTCGTCTGATTCTATGATTCTATGAAATCATTCTTGTTACTGAGCTTCCAAGTCTCTGTGTGTGTCACTTGTACCTGAAAGCCCAGTTCCGAGTCACTTTATCTTAATGACAGTTCTGTCTAACCATGTGTTTGATGAATGTACTAAATTCAAGTGAGTGGAATTAAACAGGAAAGATTGAATTAATTTTCCATAGCTCAGGCATGAAAAATAATGCAAGCCTCAACTAAAAATCAGAACTTGAAAATTTTGTATATTTTGCTTCTAAGGGGATGTTCTTCCAAAAGGAAACATTTTGCTTTCACAATCTTGTTTTCTGAAATGCAGAATTCACTTTAGTAGAATTAAGGACACCTTTTGGTTGGTTTCCTGGAGGAGAAAGCTAGGCAGCAAAAAAGAGCATTTAAAAATCTTATTCTTGCAATGTAGCATTTCAGGGCCTGCACGTTTGAATTAGAAGTTCCACTCTGGGGTTCTTCAGATAAATCTGGTTGCAGAGATAAAATTAAAAGTTGTTCTCAGGAAAATATCAGCCCTTACTGATGTTTCACTTGTTTCACATTGGCAGTACTACCTTTCCCTTTTGCTATTCTCTAGATCCCCAAAAATCTACATTAAGTTTTGCAACAGTGGCTGGAAATTTCTAGACATTAAGAAACTGATGTCCTTGTAAGGCTGCCAGAGCTGTTGCATCACACATACAACAGCATGAAACTGCATGGCACTATCAGTAATGTTTCAAAGACATCCTTTTGCTTATCCTGTCAATATAGGCCTGACCTGAAATAACTCTTCCTATTTCAGTCCCAGCTTCACAAAAAAAGCACATGAATCATGACTGTCAGCACTATGTCCATTCCAGTCCTACAGGTCTATCAATGGACATTACTTTGTCCCTGCAATGGACTGCTCTTGTGAGTAAATACACTTATAATCCACTTCTCATTTTGAAAGCCCTTTAAAATATTATTTTTTCTTGTGAGCTGCTAAAGATGCTTCATTGCATCCATATACTGACTTAAAAGTAGATGTAACACAGGCTGGAAAGCACTTCTGGGTGAAATGTCACAGTGCTTATCACTCCCTGCTCAGAATATCTTGACACAACTTGTGTTCATTGCCTCTTTTCACTGTGCACCTCTAAGACTCTTTTTCTGTCTTCTCCAAAATCCCTCTCTGGGTAGTTAAAAAGCAGCAATAACACCACTCACTGACTCTTTTCACGCTCAACAACCCAGCTCTCTCAGCCTCTTCTCATGCAGCGTGTTCCTGTGCCCCAGCAATTTACTGACTCTGCTCTGGACTCCAGTTTGTCAATCCTTTGTACCAGAGGGTTCAAAGCTGGACGCTGTCTCCAGATGTGGCCTCACAAGTATCAAACAGAAGTGAACAAATCCCTTAGCTCACTGGTTGCATTCTTGTTCCTGCAGTCTGATATGTGGTTAATGGCACATGAGTATCCATGTAACGGTAACAGGTCATTGCCAAGATAAAGCTCATTTGAAAAGGCTAAATGGCTGTCATATTATTCCACAGATGCTGTCAGATTTCAGGAATAATGATGATCACCTTTACTTGGAACATTCTGGAGAAATGTTTGTCTGTCTACTTATAAAGACCTTTAATAAAGAAGAGTCTACAATCTCTCTAGGGAACACAGTCCGCTATTAGCCATCCTGCTGTTAGCCATCCCTGAAGTTTGTAAGTCTGTTACTTTTTGTCCAATCCACAGCAGGTGTTAGAACAGTTTCCCAAAGTTTTGCCGATGAAGGATTACTCCATGAACAGGCCAACAGTTTGGGAGATGTAATATTAATCTGCAATACACTGCTCAACATAATAGCTACCATTAAAAAGTTCCTTTACAATTTGCCTGTTAAGAACTACACTTTACTGCACACATCTTACAAATGGTGCTCTTGCTAAATATTCCAAGAACATGGTGCTTTTTGTAGACGTATAACACTGATTAATGTTCAGTCTATGACCTAGGTTTTACCTTTGCCTCTCATCCTAACCCTGACACTGTCTCACATATAAGAATATGTGTCTGCTTTTATTTTTTTCTCTTCCAACTTGTTGCACTGGACTATAAAACTCTAGTGAATATCAATACCTAGTTCATTTTGTGCCCACAGCATATACCACATTATGCCCGTGATGTCACTTTTGGCTTTTAGGTCTTAGCACATTAAGAAGTATCGTAGCAATTAACCTGCTACAAAAATAACAATTAAGCAATGATTTGACAAATTACAATTTGATCTAACAGTTACTAAGCAACACATAGAGTGTGCAGTTCTAAAACAGACACTTTCATATCTGCCCCAGCTAAGTTTTAGACTATGTCAAAACAGAATTTGCAATTTCCAGGAGTACTTAATAAAAGTATTTGCAACAATGGCATTAAAACCAAAGAGCTTTATAGATGTTCCTCTTAATTCTTACTTCTGATGGCAACAGTGGAATTCCCTTCAAGTAACTCATTCAGATTCTGATGATAGGACTGTAACAACAGCAGCAGTCAAGTAAAATAATTAGTGGAAGGGGACAGAATTCCACTGCCGTACTTCCACTCTTCAAGAAGAGTCAAATACTGTGACTACTTTACAAAGCAGGCTTACCTTGGTTGCTGTTCTTTTGAGGACTGAGAATAGAAAGGCTTGATCCCATTTCTAAAGTTTGCCAAACACCTTGACAGAATTTATATGCTCTAGATGAAGAAAGCTGGACCTGCTGGACTTGACTAGGACTCTGCCTGAGCGGCTGACTTTGAACAGTCTTTGAGGATGCATTTGCCTTTTGTTGCTCTGGCCCATGATTTTCAATAGAGAAATCTAGCTGAACCTGTTCAAATTCAAAGATAATCTTACAGAAATACATACTTTTCACATCAAAGACATCTGAAAATTGGTTAAATTTCATAGTGGCATCTTGGACTTGGAAAGATACAAGGTTTCAGCAAGAGGCAAGACAAAAGAAAACTGTTATTTTTACTTTTGAAAGGTTGTACAAGATTAATTACAACATCATGACAGTGATTGAGAAACCCTAGTTTATCTAGTGTTAACAAATGCTATTTTGTACAGGAAAAATTCGTAATTTAAAAAATACATTGATTTTTAAGTCTTCCAGGAGATGTTGAGCAATTCAAATTGAAAAGTCCAACTTAAGGTGATTACACTGATGATAAAACTGCACTGTACCTCAGAGGATGGCAATTCTATTTCTTCCCCACAGTTGCTTGGAGCTTCTTCTTCCTTTAAGCCAGGGCAGGCAACTAGAGAAGAGAACCTCGAGGGATGCTGTTGCCTTGCATATTGCAGCTTCTAATATGAAATATTACATTTACACAAATAACTCATGGTCTCTAAAAATAATACATTTATAGCTCAGTTTGCTGTTACACTGCTAGATTTAAAATAATCAAAATAAGGAACATAAAAAATTATGTTCCCTCCAGATCAACAGGGCCAAACTACCTTCCTAATAAACCTTGTAATAAATCTGTTCAAAATCTATATTTCCTGGTGCTGTTACTATCACTCTGCTTGTTACTCAGGTTTATATTGTCAGGGTCATTCTTTGCTTTTGTCTTTTCTCATGGTTAAATTACAGAAGAAAAACTCCAAAAGAATACCTAAAAATCCAATTAAAATAAGGCAGCAATGGAAAAGTAATTTGTCAGCAACTAAAAAAACCTAATTTACCCCACAAAGTTTCACCAACTTTCAACATATAGTAATTAAAGTGAGATTTGATGAAAAGCAAACTACTTCAGCCCTCTCAAAGGAGATGAAAATAAACATCAAAGTCTTTTGCTATATATTTAAGGCTAAAGAAACAAAATGTGATCCCATCATATAAAATAACTAACAGTGAAATTCCTGTAGCTATGACAGTAATAAGTTCTCTTAGTTTTTGTTAAGGATGATGATTTTGAACACAGGAGCAAATGTAGCCTGGCTAGTAAGAGTGATCAGCTAGAATAAAAATACCTAAACTAGAATAACAGTAGTTTTTGAAGGTCAGCCTGGAGCTCAGCTTCAGTGCAGGAGCTGAAGCCTCAGCAGGTCTGTTCTGGGTTAAGAGCAGCCTGGAATTAGAGTACTGAATAGCCTGGATATAAGAAGGGCTATGCTTTCTAGTCTGGACAAATGATGTTTTCAAAGGTTCCAGAGGTGGAAAGATCCTCAATGACAGCCACTTCAGCCATGACCTCCAAGCAAGCCATCAGCTGAAGAGATTGAACAACTACTCCCAGAATTTAGCACACCAACTGGAAACTCACAGTCAAATGCTACCTCTCCAAGTGCCACAGACATACTGTATTTTTAAAATCTATTTATTCTTACAAAAGTAAGACTTATCTTTAATGATTTTTAACAGAACACATGAGACACGAGATGTGTAGAAAAATACAAACACAGTATCTAGCTCATTAAAAATAAGGCCACAGAAGACTGGGATGGATGGGAGATGAATATTCATTGGTCTTAATTTAAGAGTCAGCTAAATTCTAAGATGACCTGTGAAAGAAAGAAAAAGAGGTGAATAAGAAAAAAGAAGTTGTAAAAAATGTGGTTTTGAATTGTGGGAATTTTGCACAGATCTGGAAATCGTCTTTAGATATGTTTAGTGTAAGCGTTTAGCTAGTCTTTTTCAGACTCAATCCCAGCAGTGTACAGATGGAAAAAACAGGTTACAAGAGGTCTACTCAAATGCTTTGCTGTACCCTAATTTCCTTCATAAAAATTATTTCCAGTGTTAAAGAGTTTAGGAAGATCACTATTTCTGAAACAGTGAGCTGAAAGTTCAAGTGAACAAAGGATGCCAAGCTTGCAACTTTAAGTAAATAAAGATGTTCACAAGCATCCTAAACAAATGATCCATCCACAAGCATGCTGAAGCATTCCACAGTAAGTTCTCCTGTTAGCAGACCACATTCCAGGCATTCGGCACACTGTAACAGCTGCCTCACCTATTCCCTTCTGAAACCTCACAGAGGAAGATCAGAATCCTATGCTGAGGACTGTTACAGAGGACCAGATTTGAACTTTCCACCTTGGAGTTTTACAAGAAATTAAAGATTTCCTGCTCCAGAAGTAGCTCATACCACTGTCCCATAAGATGTGTCATTGATATGTCAGCAAGGCTATTTATTTGATGCTCAGTTCTTTTCTCTGAGGACCCTACTTCTTGTGGTGGTGCTGCTGTGACAGCTCTTGATCATGCCCTCAGACTGTCAATGAAGAGTTGAAAAACAGTGCTGCATTACCAGATGTGTTCTCACAGTAATTTGAATCTTCCCAGCTCAAAACCTAGATGGCTTTCACTATGTTATGTCCTAGATCATATTTTTCATGCCCTCACTAATACTTTTGACATCAAAAGAACTTGATTAGATAAATTTGCTAAAATATACCAGATTCTTCAGCACACATTGCACTTACCTGGCTGACCTTTTACAGTTCTCAATTTCTGTTGTCTTAGACTATCTACTATATCCGAGGGAGAACAAGTCTCCATTAGCTCTGGAAAGGTACAGCAGATGGCATTTTCAGTTTATCACTGTCAGATCGATGGTCTACAATGTTTGTTCACACTGCAACCTTTAAAACTTCTTCATTGACTAATGGGCAGTAAAGAAGAACAGGGAGTTATTTTCACTGAAGCAACCTGTTCAAATTTGGTTCTAATTGACTCTTAACAGCACAGCCTTTGGACTTCAGGCAACCTTTCTCTACCAGACAAGAGAGCCTCTCTTGTTGGATACCTTCTGCTAGGAGGAAGCTAAGAGAAATGCAAATACCTGGGATAGGATGTCCAAATGCAGAGTTCTTGCCTGCCAGGTTCTCTTAGAACATATTCCAAAATGTTTCCATAGATTCAATCTAACAAATTCACCTTAGCCAACAAACATACATACTTGTTTTCTTCCCCAAATAATATGCCTTTTCTGGCTGAAATACTGCTGCATACTTTGGATGCTTGGAGAGCCTTTTCCTTTCATATTGAAATGTCTGGGCCCTTCAAATAAGTACTACCTGGTTTTACTACTATTCTTTCTCCAAGGTAATAGCAATCCTGTGTGGAAGCTGCCTAACTGTCTGCCTAAAGACCTGATAGCAGAACACTGAACTTGACCCTGTCAGTACTTGTTCTCAAATTTAATTGCTGGATGATCTTTGCATTTCAAACTTTTACAGTATTTTCTTAGATCTACTAACTCAGAAGTTTTTGTTATTAGTCCAAATAATATCCCTTATGGGTACAATCTGAAGTGCTGTTTTACTTCACAGGAAAAAATATATCTGTTTTCAGCATAACTAAATTGCCAAAAAGATTGGACCAGCTGAGTCACTTAACCTCCATTTACGTAATTTGTAGCACTTATTCCAAGCAACTACAGAGGTTAATATGCTTTGTTTTTTTTTCTTTAGCACCACTCTTAACTGGCAAGCTCAATGTGAGTCAACAGTGTGTCCTGGTGGCCAAAAGTGCCAACTGTGTCCTCGGTGCGTTAAGCACAGCACAGCTGAACAACCAAAAGAGTGACTGTCCCACTGTGCTCAGCATTGGTGCGGCCTCACCTTGAGTACTGTGTGCAATTTTGGGCTCCACGATATGAGAAGGATATAGAAATAGAAATATTAGAATGTGCCCAAAGAAGAGCAACAAAGATGGTGAAAGGACCAGAGGGCTAGATTTATGAAGACCAGCTGAGGATACTTGGCTTGTTCAGCTTAAAAAAGACGAGACTGAGGAATGACCTCCTTGCTGTCTATAACTTTCTCATGATAGGGAGCAGTGTAGGAGGTGCTGATCTCTTCTTTTTGGTGTCCAGTGATAGGATGCAGGGGAATGGCTTAAAGCTGCATCAGGGGAAATTCAGACTGAATATTAAGAAGTAGTCCTTCCCTGAGAGGGTGGTCAAGCAGTGGAACAACCTCCCCAGAGAGTGGTCATGGCCCCAAGCCTGTCTGTGTTCAAGAAGCATTTGGGACAATGCCCTTAGATACACGGTTTAACTTCTAGGTTGTCCTGTCTGGCATCAGGATTCAAAGATCCTCATGGGTCCCTTCCAGCTCTGGATATTCTATGATTTTATGAAATCTCCCAAAGATAGATTTGAGCTAAAGTCAGTAAGAGTCATTTAAATGTGGAATTTTAAGGAAAGTTACATTCACGAAATTCAAACTGGCTTAATGGATCATTATCACTACATTTCAGAGAGCATATAATTACCTGTGTTGTGAGTTTGTGCTGTAGATGTTTTAGAGCTGATAGCTGACACTGCGTTCTTTTCACAAGTTCTCTTGGAAGCAGACTATCAGAGGCAATACAAACTGTGCAGTGTTTAGAGCCGACAGGATGCCAAAGTCCTATAAAGCAGAGAAAATACCAAGGAAGGCATTCTTTGTTGTTATTTTGTCATCAATATTACATTCCCAACAAGTGTTTACAGCAGATAGGAATGAACCACAGAACACAGGCCTTCTCACTGCAGATGGGTTCAATGCTATGCGGAAATGGGCCTTGTGGTTTTTTCCTTTGCTCTTTTGCTAGAGAAACTGTACATAGAACATAAATATCCACTGTGAAATCTTCTTACATTATATATACTCTTAATTCAAGTTTGTGCTACAGTAAACTTATTCTGCTTTCTCTTCCACTTTCCTAAAACATTAGTTTTTATTCCAAAAGATAAACTACCTCTTTTCTGCTCATAAACAAAGTCTTAGTTCAATTGCCAGTTCCCACACTGACATCTAGGCATCAGGGAGTCCTTCATCTATGATGTTAATCAACAAAAGTTACTACATACAGACTCTCATTGTTCTATATTAGCAGCGCCTATCAAAGGATAATCTTGCTTGCAACAATTAGTACCACAGTCTCACACAAACCATGCAGGTCAAGGATCAGTCAGGTCCAGCACTTTGTTTTCATATTAAAGCCTAGCTCTCTCCAGCTCAAAGGATGAATTGATTCCCAGATTTTATTCTACATATATGTTAGCACTCTTCTGTAGAATAAATTTACCTTCCTTTAACACCATTCCAAGTTCTGCCCTGAGTCTGTTTCCCATTTCAATCAACTGCCGCTTCTCTTGGTTTAGGATTGAGATTTTTCTTGCTGCTTCCTTCAGTTTATTTTGCATTCCCTGTAGAGCATGTTTGACACCATATTGAAGCTCAACACCAGGACCTACATCAGGCAACTGTTGTCCAAGATCTACTATCTTTTCTTCAAGAACTTTGGGTTCTGGCCCCTGAATAAAACAGATAGTGCTTGTAATGAATATTTTGAAAGTGTGGTCTGAAGGTTGAGAGATTTGTAGAAACACACATGAGAATCCAGTTGAAGAAAAAGTGTAAAGTTGGAAGTCTACCACCCATTTTTTTGAGTCAATTTCCAAGATTTTGTTAGCAATATACGGCAAATAAAACTGTGGAGCAAAACACTATAACAGACTGAGACATCCCCACAAATACTGTCAACTGTGAGTGTAAAATAATACACATAGGATAAACACCGTATAACTGTAAACTAAAGAGCAGTTAATTTTAAGATAAAATGTGGAAAAAACCCACTTTATAGCAAATAGCAATCTACCACAAACCCTTCTTTGTTTAATCATTGTGTACATACACACATAAGGGGTAGATCTGACTTAAAACACTGTTTTAAAGAGAAAGGCTGCAGAATAAAAAGCAAAGATTCTACAGTCTGCTTTGTCTCTGCAAACCCGAGTCCACCTGCACGTATACATAATGATAAAAGTACTTACCCAAAAGATAAATCCTTGTTTTTCAAGAGCTATATACTTGCCTCTTTCAGCCCCTACAAAGGGCATTTTTTGATATCCATTTAAATACTCATCATTCACTGAACAAATCATCTCCCTATAGACATTTTAAATTTTACACATTGCCACAAGTATCTAAATATATCCCATGCATTAAAATTGTTTTACAAAACTCTTACTCATCTATATGTTTACTCTTCTATATATAAATTAGTTAGAAGTGTACTACATTAACTGTGCAACCCCAATCAGTTTTCAAGTAAATCACCCTGTACAGTACGATTCCAGAAGTACACATTGAAAGCTATTATCCATACTGACAAAAAAACCCAACCACCATTGCCTTAGCGTGCCATGCAATTCCCATTCTCTTATTCCTTTGGAGAGTTTTACCGTAAAAAGGAAGGCTCTTGAGAACGTACATGGAAAGCACACAGTTCTACAAACACTATGGGGGAGAATGGCAGAGAAATTAGTGCAAGACTAGAATCTAAAAATACTAAGAAAGACAGCAAAGTAAAAAATAAAAAGGAACGCCACTGGCACACATTTGGCAATTTATATAAAAGAAATTAATATAAGTAGCCACAAATTATTACATTCTCCCTTCATCATACCAACAGTGAAATTAACAAGCAAGGCTCAACATAAAGAGAGATGAAGGCAATGACCCATTACAGCCCCACTGGTTGTCACACTGTGCCACCTTCACCAGACCAAAAGGCAAAAGCACATCACATGGCTGGGGCAAGGAATACCATTTGCTTAAACTTCTATTTTTCCTGAACTTTTCAGAAAAACCTTCAACAGCATTACACAGAATTTTTTTTTTCCAGTGACAGATTGTAAACTGTTGAGCTAGGATTGGAACTCAGAAATCTTTTTACCTTTAGATCTGTTTCGAGAGCAATATTCTACAGTATAAAAGAGAGAAAACTGATAAAATAAGTACTAAAAAAGAGTGGGAGGAAAAACTCTCCTCAGAGCTGATACAAAAGAAAAATATACATACACACAGAAGTTTACATGCCTATTATACTAGTTTCCAAAATAAACTTTCCTCTTTAGCCCTGGAGTCTATAATTTCTAGATTATGGTCACAGAACCTCTGTTATATGAAGTGGAAAAAAGAAAACTATTGCTATGGTTCTCTTCACATCTGCACACCCATATTTAGTTACCATTATTGCTCAACAGATTCTGAACTCCCTGAGGTAGAAATATTTTTGCCTGTATTTCTTCATGGCCTTAAGTACATTCTAAGCATGCAATTAATAAACATAAGAAGTACAAAGACAGTATAGAAGAAAGTTAAAGATAAGCACTTCTAGAATCCAGTAAGAAATTCTAATGAAGTTTTGCCCATTATTTTTAAGATATTTTCAGGACTGTTTCCAGCTCCCAGTCTCTGTCTAAGAAGGCTTGTTATGCACTAAGAAAGAAAAAAATAAAGCAGACAGCAGAAATAGCCAGGAAACAATAGTTCAACTTCAGTGAAGACAGCATTAGGTACAAATCCAGCATTTTATTCACTTGAAGTTTTGGCCTGCACATCTACTATTTAGTACGTGTCCATATATACAAAGCACAATTAATTCAGCACATCTGAAGGTGCACATCTGCCTGAAAAATGTTCCTGTTCTCATATCCAGCTATAAGCATTCTATTATAGTTTAGCAACATGAAGAAAAGGATTAACCTCTGGAACAGAGAATATTCATTTCCTATTTTACAGTCTCCAAGGCAAAGTCACTGTCTACTTTTCTTTGAAGGCTCTTTCTCGACTTAAAGAAATGCAAGGAAAATGAAAATGCATCTTGGACAGTAGTTTGTAAAACATTTTCGGTAACAAAAAAAGAATAATTGGTATAAAATTTAGTTTTCACCTAGTTCTGGAAGTGGTCAAAGAGAAAAAATAAATCTGAGCTGTCTGTACTGACACACAATGATTTTCAAATATGATTTGACAGCATGAACAAACATATTTCCAAAATATTTCTAGATTCAGCAAAGATTAAACATGATCCTAGCAGGTTTTGCATTTTTTCCACACAAGGTTCCCAATGCTCCAAAGTTTTATTTAAACATTAATATTGATTCAGTTTTTTAAGCTCTTAGCTTTTAACGTAATCGGGAGCTCTCATGCTTATTTATTACTTAGCTATTATTTGAATTTTCTTGAACTTAGATGGTTACTAGTGAGTCTTAACAATAAGATTAAAGGATGAAACAGATATTGTTAGATTTTACAGATGACAATTAGAAACTCATTATTTTTGAATTGTATTTTAAGCTATCTTACTTCAGACTGTTTACTGCACCATGAATTTGATGGGAGACAGGAAGAGGAGAACATACAGTGACTTACTCCTTACAGAGTATTAGATATTTGTCCCAGCTTTCAATTCCATTATTATTTTTTCCAAGAGATGCCACTGTCACACATTAATGCTGATATTTTCACTACTCTTTAAAATAACACAGTGGGAATGACATTTGTAAACCCTTGAACTGAGCAAAACACACTCTCAGAGCCAATAGGTTTTTCCTTTGTGGGTGCTCCAAGACAGCACTGGGGTGTGGAACTTTCTCCTGGTCATACTGAGTTGCATTTGGATTTACAATAATGGATTTATAATGGAAAACTTGAAGACGTGATACACAGTAGCTTAAGCATTTGAAAGTGTGGGGGGGGAAAAATCAAGATGGGCTTGAAAGATCAGGAGTGACTTATGCCAGGGAGTGACTCGTCAAAATTTATTGCCTAGAAAGAATGACCACAAGTTTGGTTGAAAAAAATCTTTGCTGGCTCTCATCTAACTGGCCATATAAGCATATATTACTTCAGTTTATAGTATGCATTCAAACAAAAATAATGTGCTTTGCATTTAATTACATACACACACACACAAAATATTTTAGGTAGTTTAAACCTCTTCATACCTTTTCTGTGTCTGGGTTTACTATACAGTCCAGCTCAATTGAGCTGACTTTGATGTTGCTCAGAGTGGTTCCAGTTGAAATTTTGTTTGTGCTCACTGAACCTAAAAGAGGAGTATAAAAAGCAACAGCTGCTTTAGAACATTGTCTCATGAATATACATGTCTAGAATCATAGCATCATTTAGGTTGGAAAAGACCTTTAAGATCATCAAGTCAAACCATTGATAGAACACTGCTAAGTTGACTGCTAAAGCATGTCCTCAAGTGCCACATCTACATGCCTTTGAAATAACTCCAGGGATGGTGACTCAACCATTTTCCTTGCCTGCTTGCACCACTGCTTGAATAACTCTTTCCAAAAAGAAACTTCTTCCTAATATCTACTCTAAACCTGCACTGGCATAACTTGAGGTCATTTCTCTTGTCCTATTGCCTATTACTTGGGAGAAGAGACAGACCCCCATCTCACAACAACCTCCTTTCAGGTAGTTGTAGAGAGTGGTAAGGTCCCCCCAAGCCTCCTTTTGTACACCACTTCAGTAGATATACTGTAAACGGATATACTCTAAACCCCTATGGGAGGGAGGTTTGGTCCCTTCCACCGCAAACAATTCTGTGATTCTATATACTTGCTTCACTAGCAGGAATTCTGTCATAACTTGTAATATACATATATTTGCTTTACTCTTGCAATATATATACATATTTGCTTTTCTAGTGGTGATTTCGTAGTGACTTTATGTGTGCATTTGTTTTTACTAATAATAGTTTTGCAGTAATTTGTAATAAAGAATCTCAGACCACTGTGTGCTTATGTATTGTGCAAACTTGAGAACCCCACAGCTGGATAGCCCTCATAGGTTGTGACTGTGACTGCTACACTTCCTTACTGAATTTAAAGGTCTTTGGCAAGAGTCTTTACCTTGCTCTACAAGCTGTCTGTTTTCTGTCAGAGGAAGAGAAGACAACATCTGTTCATCAAGACTCTCCATTTCTTTCCTCATTTGTGCAATAGCAGCCCGAAGGCTGGCATTCTGCTTCTGCAGCTTTTTTATTTCCAAGGTAGGAATATCTTTGCACAGAGAAGTTTTATCATCATACTGAAATATCTGGAAAATAAAAGTACAATGCAATAAGAACCGTTCATTGATAAGCAACACATATTGTCTCTACACACCACGCAAACAGATCCTAAAACTTACAACCCATAAACATATGTGGGAGAAAAGAACCATAGGAGGAAAAGAAATAGATCTGGTTATTGAGGATTTGCCAGGGAAAAAGGTGCTCTGCTGAGAACATCATAGAAGGAGGCATAGTTGGGGAGGACCACGGCCACAGGTGGCTCTGTCTTGTCACTGTTCTGTAACTGTGCTATCTCTGTCTCTTCCATGCACCCATCTCCTTAAAGAACCTACTGGCTCACCAGCAGTCCCCTTTCTGACCTGTCAAATTTTTGAAAGTGTCATTAGAGACCATCTGTTCACAGTAACATAAAGAGGCTGGATGTTCTTTGCTAAACAGAAAAAGGGGAAGGAGTGTATGGACTACACCCAGATAAATGGACAACGGACAGTATCTAGAAAACCACCCAGCATTTCAATTTAAAGTAAGTAGCAATGTCTTTCCTTCACATGTTATTTAGATAAGCTAACAACAAGCATTGTAAAAGGAACATTTGTCAGATAATGATCGAAGCTCTACCTTCATAAAGGCCTTGAAGCCTATCTTCCCTTAATATACATGGTGGAAGTCTGAACGGATAAGCAATATAGACTTCCAGAACTGAAGAGGCTGACAAACCCCAGATTGCCAAGGGTGCCTTTTACTGTAAAATACCTTATTTATATCAGTAAAATATGAGCAGCTTGCTTATAGTGTAACACATCCCAGAATCATTCCATTTCTTAAATTTTTGAAGGGGAATTGCTCAGTTTTCTTCATGGGCTGCATGTAGCCTTAAAGATTATCTCAGAAATTTTAGTTTGGAAATCTAGCCCTGTGTGCATAAAGCGATGGCCTAATCACTTTATGGTCAAAAATGTGAGATGCTCTAGATCACAAGCCAGAAGGACTGCTTTAGTCTGTCCTACCAAAGGTTGCTAGCTCCAAACAGTAGTCAGCTACATATGTTTAGGAAAAAGGACAAATACCAAAATGCTTCCTTCCTCCTTTATACCTCCTCAATTTTCAAATTTGCAGCTTTTGGGGATGGAAAAAAAAGAAAAACCAGAGGTGACAAAAAACTCAAAAACTAAAATGCACAGATATTGATTGGAAAACACATCTTCTGGTCACTTGAAATTCCAGCAAAATCTTCAGGGAAAAAAATCTAGTAGGATCACTGGGATATAAGGACTATGGTATTAGGGTCCTGACATTATTTACTTTTGCTGTTTTTTCATTCAAAGTGTGTCTGCAAACATTTTTAAAGAAGTTACGTTAGACCAACGGTGGTGTGTTATAACTGTGGTCTCATCCAAACAGAGAATGCCTAATTTAGATTCCACTCCTATAAAATCCTCTCACTGATAGAAACATTTGTCATCATCCACTTAAGAAATGCAGATACTATTTGGTACAGGAGTATTAGAAAGCTCTGCAACAGCAGAATATACACTCCTCCAATCACTAAAGAAATCCTAATTCACAGACCATCCAGATCAGATGTTTTTGAAAACAAAAAGACCGTGAAATGTGTTTGGAGCATTTGTATTGAATGTTGCTAATTTTAAATGTTTCTTTGAATTCAACCCTAACCTTAAATCATTGCAAAGCAGCAATTCTGCCTCTTCAGAGGGCATGGCAATCGATGAGGCACTGCACATAAAACATGTGTGAGCAAATTACTTCAGTCTCAACATTTATGCCTTGCACAGCCTCAAACACTACTCCCTTTGCATCTTCTCCATTATTCTCTCCTTCCTTCAATCCCCTTATTTCCCCAGTTGTAAGTCTGTTCTGTGAGTGTGATCTGGAACACTAATGGCCTTCAAATTAAATTTCCCTGTCATAAAGGCAATGGCTGCCCTATATATTCTTTCTGCCCTAACAGTACAGGGTATGTAGAAGATGAAGATAGTCTATTCTGCTTTTACAATCTCTCCGAGGTTGTTAAGGTGAGGAGGGGAAAGGCACCAGGAGGTACCAATACATCTCCCAGATGTGTTCTGAATTTTGGGGCCCTGGACTTCATCTCAACCTGGAACATAAACATGAACCATCACAGTTTGAACCAGAAATACAACTGTTCCAGATTATTGTAAGTGGAAAAGGGTCTAGAGAGAACACCAAATAATAAACCGGGATTACTGTAAGCAGTCTTTCCTTATCTGTGCATTCCTATAGTGTTATCAGCATGGTCTAGTTAGACAAATATGACCTAAGTCATACTAAAAAATCAGTTATAAGCAAGATTTTCCACACTGCTGTGTTTCACATCTCTGTTGCTTAATTAAAGGCTGAGAATGACTACTACACTTCATTTTGTATAGAAAAATTACAGGAAAAGGTTCTTCAGAATAGTAGACTTTTTTTTGTTATTTAGTTTTTTAAACACTGGCCCTTCCCATAAAACAGAAATCAAAAAAGTTTTTGCTGAGATGGGTACTGCTTATCCTACAGGCCAAAAGTGCAAAAACCAGAGTATTTTAACAACAGAAAGAAAAGTGTGACAATGAAAACAAAGTCTTGCCAACAACAGTTGAAGACAACAGCGAATGCAAACAGCTAAAAACCCCCTGCCCAACCTTGCTTCTTTCGGTATCTCAATGATCAATTTGCAAATCAGTACAGCTTGAAATGAAATTGGAAAAACAACTAGCTCCACAGCAAGTTTTTGCTAACAGTCTACTTTTGTCTATGATAAAAATTGTCTTCAGAAAGTATCTTTCTGAATACAACACTTCCTGCATTCAGGAACTACTAGGCTTGCTTAACACTGCTTTTTCTTAGCAAGCTCTGGTAACATACTCACTGGTAACTGCTCACTGTTGAGCACGTGTAGCTGCCCAGCAGAGTGCACTGCAGCACACTCTTTACTGTCGTTTATTTACAAAAGACAATTTTCTACTTATAATGCATTATCCTTCAGCATGGCTTCAAACCAGCATTACACTTGCAATTTTGAATGCATTTTTAAAATATACGTATTTTAATAGGTAGCAATGAAAAGAAAAATTGTGATACTAAAATATAAGACATTATTTTATACAGCTGGCATATTAGTATTTTGAAGCATTGCCTTAAAATTTTAACTTTACAACTTTAAAATCTACCCTGAACTGCAACTGACACAGAGCCTCAGGAACATTCCAGAAATTAATTCTTCCCATTCTGATGTGCCATGATGGTACACTATATTGTCATGTTTTGGAGCAACTGTCTACATCCAGCTTGCTCCTTTTGCCAGTGACTAATAAATGAGAGCCATAATTGAGCCTGTGACATCTAATCTATGTGTATTCCAGGCTAGATATGACAATATTTTGAATTATATATATGAAACCGATGAACTGCTTACAGTAAATCCAGTGGAAACAAGGCTCATAAAGTTGTCATTTCAGAATGTCTACACTAATGTCTATGATAAGTGTTGTCTAACCTGTTTCCCCCCTTCAGGTAAAATATTGTGATTAAATGATGCTTATATTGTCTGTTCTTTCTCAACAGTCAAAGCAGAAAGAAGAGTCTTCACTTCATGCAACCTGCAGTCTGTTTTCTGTAGATCAGCTTCAAACCAGGAAGGAGTGAAAGGATGAAAAGCAGAGGATGCCAGTAGCTCAAGGACAAAGGGATGGAGAAAAGAAAAAGGAAAAGAAAGTAAGGGAAAGGGAGGAGAAAAGGAAAAAGGAAGAAAAAAAAAGAAAAAAAACAAAGATATTTTAAATCTTAGCACAGGGACTTAAGCACATTCCTTTTGGCTCTGTCAAAAACTGCCTTCACAGACAAATAATTTAGCTCCATTGTCTAATCTTCATGTGAAATGGACAATGATGATTCATCTCTCACATGTGTTCCTATGCTGCAGCTATTGATGCCTATGAATCATTTTTGAAAGACAATGATAAAATAACACCAGAGTAAATGCCTGCATTCTAAACTTCATAAACAAGTGTTTCCTCTGTACCCATGAGTTTACTAGGCAATCTGGCATTGAGAGCTGATAGCCCATTGTGTAATAGTCTCTAAACAACAAACATGTATTCAATTTTTCAGAAACAGAAGCTTGTACACTACACAAAATAGATTTTTTTCCTCCATACAAAAATACTCAGAGTTTTCCAGGTCTAATATTGTTCCCTTAATAGAATTCAAGTGGTACTGTGATCTGAAATTCTTTTTGGCCTGGGGCTGCTCTAAGAGAGATCCTTCTTCTTTTGCTACAATGGCAACAGAAAAGCAGTGACATCTCTCAAGATGACTTGATTTCATGAAAAGGGAGAAAAGGCCACTATTAGAGATTGTTCATGAAAATTAATCTGGTCTCTGATCAAATATGTGTGATGAACTGCTGTGCTCAATACAGAATTACTATTTTACATATTTCTGAAAGAAGATCAGTGTCATACTTCCCCGAGAAACACCACGGTGGAAAAACTCCATAGGTCTCTCTGCAACAGATGATTCTGAAACTGTTAATTTGAAATTCTCACCTCCTGTCTTGAGGAAAACAGGCTTTGTGTTAGATCCTCTGATTTCTGATACCGATTATGTTCAGCATTCTCACAGAGGTGCTGCCAGTTTAGTTCTGCTTGCATTTTACCCTGTTCTAGAATCCATTCTTGCTCAGCTCCAAGAGACAGTTGTTGCTTATACCTATGATACACAGAGCAAACCTGTTGATTTAAGCAGAATAAATAATTAAGGATGTTTTGTGGTGTTTTTTGTACATACCCTAATATGGTATGTACAGCAAAGGGGAATTTAAAGAAACACGTCAGACAAACGGTATCCTTTGCAAAATAAGATCTGATTCCATAACTATCAGGGAGAAAGGAGAAAAAAAAGTTCATTTTATGAAAAAAAACACCATCTTACAGACATTAAAATTCAATTCCTTTAAAGCCATCTGAGTATCTGTAATACATCAAAGACTAGGCATTACAGAAATAACTGAACTTCATTTTAACTTTTAGAGGTGCAGAAAAGTGCTCTCTCTCTCCAGTGCTAAAAGTTGTGGGTATTTTCCATTTCTTTATTTTTTTAAACTGGACATTTCATTCAGCAAATGGGACAGAACAGTCTTGAGCTATACAAAAAGAAACCAAATTAAATTATTTCAACTTTTCTTTTGCCACAATTTCAAGGAAAATTTTAAATATAAGATAAAAAATCTTAACAGAAGTGGAGTTTAGATTATAAGCACATGAATAAAGGGATATAGTTTATTATGTACAGTTAGGACATCCATCTTCTTATGCACACATGCATATAAATATGGAACTAGTGGTGATAAACATTTAACTGTTTCCCTCTGTTTTTGCAGAATGCCAATAGAAACAGTACAAAAAGTGGTCACTAACAAATCACATGAAAAAAATTTAAAGGTACATTATAGAGACTTGTATTCACTAGTCTAATTGTTTAAGGTAAGCAAAACAATTCACTACAATTAGAAAGGAAAGTTTTGGCTGCAGTCAAGAGGCTTTTAAATTGTATACTTGCAGAACTACTAAAGAGCTAGGAAACTGAAGCATTAATGAAACGGTGTTAGAAAAATACTACCATGTTTTCTGCTCTGGAAAGAAAGTGACAAAGGGCTGCTGGGAGACAGGAAGCTATGGGAAAAACTTCTTCTCTCCCTCCCCACCCTGTTCCCTGAATTTTAACTTAAATGAAAAGAATCAAAACAGTCATGTGGTTTGTCATTCTTGGGAAAACAAAAATCTGTTGTTAGAGGACTTTACATTTCAATCCCAAGTAAGAACAATACTACAGAATGGTCATTCTGCTGTGAAATTCCTCCAAAGCAATACTGCAAGTTATTCCGACACATGGAAACACCACTAAAGATACCACTGAGGAAGTGTGCCACTCATGCTTCACAACGCCTGTGTTTTGTAAGTGTATGAAAAACTGTTCATAAAGAAGCCAGGGATTTTCCAGAAAACTAAACTGTTGCAGTGAGTGGCCATTCAGGTGGCTAAACTGATAAGGTATTGAAAAAAGTGTTTGAGAGATACTACTTTGACAAGTTCAGTTGATAAGTCTCAACTGAAATTTGAAAACAAGAGGATGAGATCACAAGGGATTTGGCTAATTGATGCAACATCATGTGTTAGGTTAAAGGGAATGACTGCAAGGAGATCCAATGGCAAGCACGGAAGATGTGCTTCTTTAGTTGTAACATAAACAATGGTGATAACTTTTTTCCTCCTCCAGTGGGATAAGAGAAATCGCGCATATAAGATGCTGTACTCTTGTGCTTGCAGACAGCAGCTAATCAGCTTTATCGTTACAGTTCAACCACACAATGCACGACAATAACTTCCAAACCAAGCCAGCTCTCTTGTACTGCTCAGGTGAGCAGTGCTCACACTTCTTTGGGTACGTTCATAAATTGCCTTTGGGGAACCAATGGGCAAGAGAGCCCTGGATGAAGCTGGGTTATTTTAGCAGGACTGAGGGCAGCAAGACATAGATCAGCAGGTGCTGGGCGCAAGACACAACTGTCCAACAATACCACTTCATTTATATTATATACTGGTTTGGTTGACAGGCCAATTAAACACATTCATATGTAAATATGTAGAAGTGATTTCAATATCAAATACATTTTTATACAAAAACAAAGAAAGGAGGTTTTGTTGCCCTTTAAAGTTTGTAGTATATAGAGAGGTCGTATAATTCTGCCCTAGGGTATCACAGTTGAAGGTCAAATTTCACTGTTAGTAAGATGATCCTTTTAAGGCGAAATGACAGGAATATAAGAGGCAGAAGGGGGAAAAAAAGCCTTGTAATTAGGAGCATGATAAAAAACATATATTTACCCATCTTGCCTAAGTATACCTCTGCTTTCTACATGCTGACCTTTCCTGCAATTTCAAGGTTAACGAATTTAGCACTGGGCTGTCTACATAAAATAATCTTACACAATCTCAGATTACTAAACACATTCTTAGCAGTTCCGTACAAGGGGCAGCTGTCAGACAAGCAAAGCAACAGCTGCTACACAAGCAGGGCATAATCTGTAATTTTAATATAATCAATTTTTAGAAAAAAATAGGAAAAAAATAAAAGCTTATACAACTATAGCAATGTTAAACCAGAACACGCTAATTAAAAAAAAATAAAACTGAAAAAAGGATTGTTAGATGGCACTGCAGCAATACCACATTGTTTCTCCAACATTCTTATACCCATTTCTGACATCAATCTCTCCTTCCAGTTCTCAAATTTTTGCTCCATGTGAAGTTTCAGGTTCACATTCTTCTCCTGCTGATGACCTATGTGACTATTCCTAGAGCTATAAACAAAAATAAAACAAATTTACATTAAAAAGCATCTCTGGTGAACTAATGAGGCATCCATATGTAAAATTTTTTGAACAATAACACATAACTATAAAGACAAAATGTTATAATTTCCTAAAGAAACAGTCACCATAACATCTTTTTCTTGTCAGTTGAAACCAATTATAACAGTATATGTTACATCCCAAAACAATGCTTCAGAAGTTGCATACAAAATATAGAGGATCTGCTGAGAAGTAGTGCAGGACCTCCACTTAAGTATAGCAGAGTTCCTCCTCCACCCAAAAATTTCAGTTACATAAGAAGAAACTGCAAAACAAGGGCTGACCAGCAGAAATCTGATCTTTTAGATACATTTAGATACAGCTCTATATTTTCTCCTATCCTCCCGCAGTATTATTTGCTATCAACAAAAAAGTTTCTCTGAGATACAGTGGAAGAATACCAGTAAGGTCAGGATTTCACGCAAATGCGAAGAGCTGATACTGCCACTGGTACTTAGGTGACCAGTAATGATACACTGAACCCTTTCAAGTTATGTATTCATCCCTGCAAAATGTAACAGATTTACTGATATCATGCTGTTCTGCAACCTTCTGGTTACTTTCAACTTGATATTACAGTTATTTTATGTAGCTGAATGACAGCTGCATTTGGTTAGATAAGATTGGTCATATAACTACAAAGACAGAACTGTGAACTAGAACAGGAGAGTCACAAACACCTAAATGGATATTTACTTTCCTATTCTGCTAGATTTTGCTTTTAAATTTACACTTCACCTGAATTAAGCTGAATGCTATAGTCAACACTTAGGCATACAAATGAAGTGAATCAGAAGTGCTGTCTCAGTGTAGTCTAGACAGGCACTTCTACAACTCCCTTGTTCATCCCAAAACTCTTCAGGGCAAGGCAGATCAGAAGAATAATTGCTGTATTGCTCAGTGAGCAGTATTCAGCTCAGCCTGGCAAAGAGGCAATGCTGGGTCTAAAGGACTCAACTCCTCCTTCCATTCCCAAAGGATATGCTCCAGGTAAAATTCCTGAATAGGCTTTAAATGAATTTGCATATACTCCAGAACCACAATAACATCTTTTAGTGACCTTTGACAAATTCCAGAGTCTTGCCCAGATCACTCACAATAACTAAAGAAGTTATTTAAAACTTATCCAACCACCTCTACATTATAAATGTTGTTTGACCCAAAACAGTTTACAGCACTTTACAGCAGTTACCATTTTAAGCAGAGAATAATCCCAAAGATACCATTACATCTGAAGACAATAGTTACATTAAAAAAGAATGATGTGCAGACAGAACTCAAGAAATGTGTTTTTTCCCTCCACCCTACAAACTGCACACTTATTTCTCTTTTCTTCAAGACATTTATGATGATCAAGTCACAGTCCAGCCTTCTCTTTTATCAGCAGTATGAACTGCCGTGTCCCATTTGTCTTCTCCTAGTTTTAAAACCAAAAAGAAAATAAACAAGAGGGAGCCTGTGCCGATACTGGCAAAACCTTTTACTTGCTTCACTTCCATCTCCTTCTGCTGTTTATTCTCCATATTTGTCTAGTATCTAATTATAAATTCTGCAGAAGAAAAAAAAATACGTTATCTCTAAGCACTATGATTGGCTAAAAAAAAAAAAAATTTAAAAAAATGGTAATTTCTGCTCAGATCTCTCCAGAGATTTGGGAAAATCTCTGGAGTCAATATAGCTTCTCTCACTGTGCAGTATTACTCTGTGTCAGTGGTTACAGATAATCCCTTCTGGATAAGCACAGCATGCACAGAACAAATCGGACAAGCATGCCTTTCAAATAGTGGATCTTTAATCTCTTTAAATGAAAGAGAGATTTTCAGATCAGCAAATATAATGCAATATCTCTATGCTAAAGGATGCCACAATTTAAATAACATTTTTTTCACAAACAAACTAGACAATTCTAATTATCTAGGATCAAAAAATGAGTCTCTGATCATAGCATGTGACAAGTATAAAAGAATTCAACTTGCTTTTCCCAATTACACTGAGTAACAATCCCTGCTAAAGGACACAATGATCTGGTGGCCTTTCAATTCTGCTAGCCTAGATTTCACTTTTATCCCCAAGACAATGAAAATAAAATTATGTTTTCGCTTCAGATTCTGCTTCTTGTTGGCAATGGTCAAATTGCGCTACCATGTACAAACAGTATATCTTTTTCCTTTGGGTAAGGAGAAATAAGTGTTTTCTTTAAAAGTCACTGTTGTGGATATTCATGAACAGTACTGTCTCCCCTCCTATAGCATGCAACACTAAGAAAGATCTGTTCTTTCTGTATCATCCTTTCAGCTACAGTTGCTCCAAATGCATCTGATGGCCACCACAGTTAAAAAGATTAACTAAATCTGACTTCCTCCCTCCACCACGATCATAAAGACATTAAAGATAAAAAATGCCTATGAGATGCTTTCTGGACTTAAGGCACTGCAAGAAACTATGGTCAGTTTATACCCACTAAGGCATCAAAATACTTTCACAAGCGCCTTTTAAAAACCTGATGTATGTTTCATTAGCTAAAATTAACAATACATTATTAGACATGACCTTTGTGCAAGGAATGAAAAACAAGACCACAGCTCCAGCCTACTGCTTCCTTGAAATTATCAAACTAAAGTCACAATTTTTCTTGGAAAGAGGTGGTTAAGAAAAATTATACTTCTTTTACAATCTTTCTCTACAATTATCTTAAAGTTAAAAAGCACCACACCATTTCCTATAAAAACAATCTTCCTCTCAATCTCCATATCTCAAATTACTGATAAACTGAAAGTGGTATTCTGAGGCAAGTTTGGGTTCCATATAACATAGGAATCATTAATTCCATATAAAAATATAAATTAATGACTCTTCTTGTAATTTTAAATTATTGTTTTCCATCACAGAGAACTGTATTTCTTAGAAATACAATGTAATGGAGGAGAGCATTTTGCCCTTGAGAGCAGCAACATTTATAACTGCAAGTTGGTTTCAATAATGACTATAATGTAAATAACAATGTAATTTTAAATATAAATTGCACCAATTGCCTGGATGTCTTGCAGTCACAAGAAGAACAGTAAACCAAAATATGGTGATATCAAAAGACAACTCAGGAAACAGCATACATGTAAGAAAGAACATATTACACATAAGCAGAGCTTACCCCTATAACCTAACCAGCAAAATTACCCATTGCAGTCCAACCACTTCAGCACGTACAGAAAGAGGAGATTGATAGGTACTTCTGCTCCCGCGCATAAGGGCCTAATGGGGCTTATGTCAGCTTCTTTTACAAAAAAAAAAAGAAAACAAAACCCAACCAATCAACCAAAAACCCCCACGAAAACAAAAAAAAAAACCATTCAAAACAAAACCACCCCTCCCCACACACACACAAAAAAACTTGGCTGTAAATTGCACACAGCTGAATGTGGTTGTCATATCTGATTCAGTGGAGACTTTGCAATTGCTTGTACTAAAAATGCCATGTTTGAGCTAGTCACCTTTCAACCAAATAAGAGCAAGGTGATCCTGAAGAACAGAGCAATAATTGAGAACCTTCAGACTTCCATACAACCCCTATTTGTCAAAGAAGTGTAAAGCTTTACAACTTTCTTCAAAGTATAAAGAAACTGAACTTGCTTCTCTCTTCCTTGCTATCCTTATTTCCAGTTGTTTCACAGTGTGCTACAAGTCAAGATGAAACAAGCAGTCAGCATAGGCACAGTATTGTGACCACCAGTCAATACAGTTCCTCGAAAAAATTATGACTATCAGTGATACAAGTTAGCATCACTTGTGTGTTGTCTCCTTCTTTACTCCTGGAGGCTGGTTTGCTGTTTACCTTACAAGTAAGGTCAGGTATATGAAACAGCAAATATACATCATGCATTATACAATTTGACCAAAATAGATAAAATACAGCAGAAGCTGGGGGATAGGATAAAGACCAAACAACAAACAAGAGAAACCTGGTAGCAGGGACATACCTTGGGTATAGCATGTGGTGGGCTATGTTGCAGGGTACATCGCACCCTACACAGGGTATGGTGTCAGGCCCATTATTCAGGGCAGACAGAAGATTAGGAGGCATAAGGGACTGCAAGGTATGGTGGGAAGAAATAATTGCTTCTAGGACTGAGACATGGTTACATATTCTAGAGAGTGTCCAAGGAATGTAATAGAGGGCAACACACCATGAGGAGCACTGACACTGAGTCCCTAGAGCAAATATCCCCAGGGATGACAGGAAGGGACAGCCACACAGACGGAGGATGGGAATGCTACTGGCAAGGCAGGGATCAAGTACTCTCCAGGACTAGAGGTCTGCAGAGCAGAAAGAGAGAAAAAGACAACTGAGTAGGGATGAAGGAAAACTCTGCCAACAGAACCCGCAGGCAGGAAGCAGAGCCCAGAAGGAAGGTTCCATGGAGGACCCAGAGGGTCAGATGTTCTGAGGCAGAAGGGCAGATGGCAGGCAGATTGTTGAGGTCAAGTCTCTTAGAGGAAGGCAGTAGAGAGAAGCACAAGATAATGCTTTGGACTCAGGGACTGCACACGGAGGACACTTAGCGAGAGGGGTGCAGAAAGACAGTGTGCCCAGAGAGAGAAAAGGACGCGAGATGCACAAGCGACGCGTCGGGAGCTCCGAAAGACAACCTGCGGCACGACGAAATGCTGTGCGACCGCAGTGTCTTCTGATGGAGCAGTCCAGCCGCAGGCCGGCTCCTCCCGGCACGAACCTGCCCGTCCCTCCGCTCACGGACGTCGCCGCGTCTCCCGGGAGCTGCGGCGGGGAGGGCCGTGCCGAGGGGCGGGCTCGTGTCCGTGGGGGACACCGCCCACCATCATCCGTCGGGGGGGCCCTACCCCTCCCCTTCCTCTCGGCCTTCGCTCCGGGAGGAACCGCCAGTTCCCCTTCTGCCTCCGTTCCTGATCAACCAGCCGGCGCTTCTCGGCTACTCGCGCTGCGTTCACTTCCAGGCCGCCGTTAGCGTATTCTCTTCCTCACATTCTCCCCGTTCCATCCTCGCTAGTCTCTCACAGCAGCTCCTCCTCTGCATCGTGTGAGGACGGGCATGCTCCTCTGCAGCCCCAGTCTCTTCTAGTAACACCCTCTTCCCCCAAAACACAGATAATATTTGTACCATACTCTCAGATTTCACTCTCTTGTTCACTTGTCTTCCCATACATTTTGTTTATCAGACTGTTTAGTATTAAACAATTTCTCCATAGTGCAGATCAGAAAGGAGATTCTTGGCCCCTTACAGTACAGCTGTTAGGGATGGGAACAAACTTCCTATCCTCTGAACTTCCACTGCATCATTTGAAAAACTTTAAAAAGCCTGTAAAACAAGTTCAGGCCAACTGCAACATGAGGTCATGCGGCACAGATAAATATATTTTGCTATCAAGGCATTTAATTATTAAAAAATGTATCCATCAACCAAACCACATGAGACAGACAAAGATGTAAAACATGAGCTGGACCTAAAGCATGATTTTCCCTTAGTCACTTAGATGACTTGCTTGTCTGGAAGTCATGATGCAAACTTCCTGTAATGCTCTCTCACTTTTCTGTTTTTCTAGATTATATAAAGATTTGCCTGAGGATAGACTTTTCAGAAACCTGAATGTTGCATCCAAATTATATCTGAAGTACACTAATTTAAAGAAGATAAAGTATTACCTAAGTAGTTCTTATAGATCTTATATATCTATATATGTTACATATCTTAAGATATAAGTAGTTCTTTCCTTATGTCACCAGAAAAGAACTGTATGTCCTAGCCCCATGACATTTAAAGAAAGGAGGGATTAATTTCCATCAGTAACTGTTTCTGAAAATTAGAATCAGGAGTTACAACCTGACTTTTGAAATAAAGCGAGTTTCGTTTAGCTACATATAATTTCAGAATACTACAATTATTAAAGGGATTTAGTTAATTTATTTATATGAATCACCTCTGGTTTAAAATACAACAATGAAAACTGGCTTCAAACGATTTTCCATACCTGAGCACACAAAAATTATAATGCAAGTCCCAGCATAATTTACATACTGCAGTGGGCCTCTCAAAGCATTCATCTGAATAATCACATAATAGGTAAATGTCTAAATCCATATGCCATTCTGACTGCTGGCATGCTCCTTTTCCTTATGCCTTATCTCAGCATTGCCTAACTTATCAACCACATCTTCTTCACCCCTACCCCCCTTTCAAGTGAGCTGTCATATTCTCCAAGGTACCTTCAAACAGTCCCTAGTCACGTAGTTAAGTGCATGTCAGTTCCCCAAATGAGTAACTGATGGCTTCCAGTGATTCAATAGTGCCCAAAATGGATAAACTTTACTGGTGAGTCAAAAAGATTATAGTCTACACAATGTGAACTTGGTGATCGATGTAGGAACCTGAATACATCTAAAATAAATGCAGGAAATGTCTTGGTTTTATAGATGGAAATGGAAGGAAACCTTTGGCCCTTTTAGCAAACAGCTAAAGTTTAGAAGAGATTTTCTGTTCTTACCAAACATTAGTGAGTTCTGTAAGATTTCGGCCAAAGGTAAGATTTCAGCTACCTTTAGAACCACCTTCAGAGTCAACCTTTTTGAATACAAGCCTTTGGCCCCATCACTACACTTTGAAATAGCAACACTTACAAGTAGCTTCACAAGGAAATTAAAACAATAAGGACTCACCCTCTGAAAATGTTACATTGTAGAGAGGAAAAGCAGGGTATATACTGGCTACACATATACTACTAGGCTCAAAAGCACTACCAAGTTTCCAGCCCAAAGGCTATGTCCAACCCATCATGGCCCAACTCTGTAACAAGACTCAGGATTACACAATCTATTTATCCTGCCATCCTCATTTTTGTTTCTATGAGCCATGACACACTCCAAAGATGTTTACCTGGACAGTCAGAGTAACAGATTTATGAGAATCTATTTTACGGGATGGAACTGTCCTCCTTAAAAACTTAGAGCCAGAGGGTGGGGTGATGAGAAGTAAAAATGTCTTCCTCTCAAAACCTGAAGTTTTTCCAGTTCTTTGGGACTGGGAATGGAGATAATACTTCCTTTTCCTGAAGACCCAAGATTACCTGTGTGAAGACATAAAAATGTCTCCAGCTGCTAGACTTCACCAATTGTGTTGGGCCTCAGGCACTGCACAGCTTGCTTCAGAAACTCCATGACAATCAGTGGTTTCTGCTCTCCTGCAATTAACTTCATCTAGCCTGCAAGTAAATGGCCTAAATTCGGATAATGGTAGACAGTCAAAAACTGGCTTTACTGATCTTTAAGATTAGCAATGTAGGTCTTACTGGCTATATGCTATCTACCCAAAATTGCTCATCTTCACACATTACTGCAATGAATCTCTAAGCATGGACAAATGGGTACTACAGTTCATCAAAACTGAACCAAAAGCCAACACAAACATAATGTGCAGGGAAAAGAAGAAACTTCTAAGTCATTAGAAGAGTTTCAGATCCTCCCTCGGTATTACATGATCTCAGTAAGGTTCTAAAATATTGGAAGCTACTAATCTCTACAATACCATAGTTCTCAAAAGACAATACTGTATCCTACCTGTCCTCTTCTGGTTGGAACCTTACTCCTGTGCATCTCCACACCAGTGATAGGAATCAAAGAATCATTTAAATTGGAAAAGACTGGTTTTTTAAGAGCATTGAGTCCAGCTGTTAACCTCGGGGATGGTGAGTCCACCAACTCCCTGGACAGCCCATTCCAATGCTTGATAACCCTTTTGGAGAAGAAATTTTTCCTAATATCCAATCTAAACCTCCCCTGACACAATTCAAAGCTGTTTCCTCTTGTCCTGTCCCTTGCTCCCCAGGAGCAAAGCCCAATCCCCACCTGGCTCTACCCTCCTGTCAGGGCAAGAAGGTCCCTCCTGAGCCTCTGTTTCTCCAGGCTGAACCCTGCCACCTCGCTCAGCTGGTCTTTGTGCTCCAGACCCTTCCCCATACCTGTTCCCTTCTCTGGACACACTCCAGTCTCTCAACGTCTGTCTTGTCGTGAGGGGCCAAAACCTGAACACAGGATTCAAGGTGCGGGCTCACGAGTGCCCAGCACAGGGGGACAGTCACTCCCCTACACACTGGATTGTGTGCTATAAGCACACAAAGGAGTAGAGCACCTACTCCTGAATTTCCTAAGCACCGAGTACCCCAAAGAGTGATACTTTCTGTAGTGTACTTGAGAAGCTCACAACTTTCACAGATGCTAAATAGCAGTATGAACACACACTCAGTTTTATAATCCAACATTTGTATGAATAGCAGTAGACCAACAACAGATCAGTGCAGAAAGCTAAGTCCGTCTTGATGTAAAAGGAGATGTCTCAAGCAAGCATATTTGCAGGGAGCACTCTCTTTGTAGAGGATGAGGAGGGAAGCCTGTAAGTTATCTGCAAAATGCACAGTATCACACTCAAAATAGCTGAGAAGAAAACAACAAGGCAAGGAAGCTTGTAAGAGTCGCTCTCGTGCGACAATGTCTCATGAGACAATGAAGAAATTGCGATCGCTCCCTGGAAAACAGAAATAGCAGCACAGAACAAACCTCCACTGTAGAAGTCCATTCATACGTTGAAGTCCACAGCTCAGGTCCTGCTCCTCTGGACCTCTGGACAGCCAGTCCATCATCCACGCCGGCAGGACCCAGCCCCGCGCCGGCCTCCCGGGGCCGCGCAGCACGCGGCCGGCCCTGCGCGGGAGAACCCGTAGCAGCGGGAAGGAGTCACGGCGGCAGTAGGACCCAGGGCGCCCTCGCTGTGGCAGGGGAGGGGCGAGAGCCACAGACCCGCCGCGCCGGAGCTCCGCAGCCGGCGGGACCAGACGGGCTGGGGCGGGTGTGTGCGGGCGCACGGGGACAGCAGCTGCGGTCCGGCGCGAGCACGGTCATCCTCTCGGTGAGGCGCGGGACGTGACTCAGGTACTGAGGCGGAGCCGTCGTGCGTGATGTTGCGGAGCGCTTGCCTGGCGCACGGGGCCGAACGCCGTGGGGAGCGCGGGGAGCGCGGGGATGGCGGGGGGTTCCCGAGCCGCGTGAACCGACCTCAAAGCCCCCGGCTCACCGAGGGCGCATCTCCGCGTGGGGCTGTCCGAGCCGGCGGATGCGCCCGAGCGCCTTCTAAGCTTTGGCGAGCGCAGCGCGGGAGGCGAGGGTTCATCCCTCGCCCAGAGGCTGCGCTGGGCGCCGGTGCGGCGGTGGGCACGACGCCGACTGTCCTCGCCCCCCTTGGCGCCACCTCACGAGGGACGGCGGGGCGCCGTCCCACTGGCTGCGTTTCTCCCCGCGCATGGGACCAAGAGGGCGCATCTTTTCCTCGGAAAACCCTCGTTGCCGTATGGGTCGCCCAACGTCCTCACAGCCAACGGCCTGAAAGCGCTGTCCGGGCGCAGAGCAGTGCTGGCGACCAAGCCCCGCTCTGCCCGCTACGGGAGAGCGCTGCCCCCAGCTTCTTCCCCCTTTGGCGCCGGGTCACGTCTCGGCTTGCGGTGCCGCCGGCCCCAGCGCACGTACAGTGCCACACCGGTGGCTCGTGAGACACCCGCGAGCTCCGGCTTTGTTCCCGTCATCCCTGGCCTCAGACCGTTACTGGGCGAAGAGGGTCTCCGCGAAAGCCTCGCCTCCGCGATCCCTTCGCTGCTGCTCACCTCCTGTTTCAGTGTCGAGCCCCGGGGGGTGAATTTCGGAGTTCTTTGTCACAGTGGTGACCGCTCAGATCCGTCAGAGCGAGCGACGTGCAGACTGAGGACCGTCCCTTCGTAAAGGACTCGTGGCAGCCCCGGGCATGAACTCCGTTACTCGGTTCAGCGAGCGCTCTGAGAACGGTGGGGAGCCTCCCTGGGCTTCGCGAGCATCGCCGAGTGCTCCGCAGGAGCCCCCTCGGCTACGTGCCCCCCCCGGAGCGCCGCTCGGGCGGTCGTGGCCGTGGCCGTTGGCGGCGCCACGACCGCCACCATTGTTTTCCCGACCCCGCTCCTCCCTTGCGGGGCGGCCGCCGCAACCCCTTTCCACTTCTTGGGAAGGAGCCCATTTTTGCTGCTGCTCGCAATCCACCGGGAATGGTCTGCGGCTTGCCATCTTCTAAGAGGTTCCGCGAAGAAAAAGTGAACAAAGGTGGAGTTGAATTGCAGCAATACAACTTCCTCTCGGGCACAGACCGTTAGCACTGGCTGTGGAAATGCGCTCCTCTTGGGCAGCGGGTTTGCGTGCTTTTTGGCTAAAGCAATTGGAAGACCGTTTAGTATAGAATGTCTCAGAGTAAAGTCAAGTATGGTTTTGCAATGGTTATTTCGGAGGAAGCGGTGTGGCAGTCAGCCGCTTTAAAATGTAAACCAGAATCTATTAGTACAGTACACCTGTTGTGGTTCAGTCAGAAGTATAACACAAGATATATTATTTTATATATTATATTTTTATTTTATATATTATATCTTTATATTATTTTCTATATTATATTTTATATACTTTATATATTATAAAAATATTAAGGTGATGTTTTAAATTGTGACTGAAGTGGGAATTCACATATCTCAGTGTATAACACCCTATTATGCAGCTGCACTGTCCAAAGTGATTGTGTAAAATGACACCTCTGAGCCAGGCCATCTTTTCTCAGTATATTCAGCTACATGTGCTAACCTGGCTTGAGATACAAGCGCATACAAGCACTTTATACATCACGGTAGTTCCATGGTATTCTGCAAAAATTAGCACATACCTCCAGCAGGTGACAGGACTAGACCCTTAATTAGTGTTTATTTAGCTCTGTCACTTTTTGGTTTTATACTAGGCAATATAAGGACACTTCTCCAAGAATTTTCTGTTTTTTTAAAGCTTCAACACATTGCAAAGCCACCACAGCTGCAGGGCTGAAATTAATTTTCACGATACATGAAAATTAGTTGTAAGTATTCAGCTGAAGTTGGGGGTCTGCTACTTATATTTTTGAAAGCAGCCAGATAATTCCAATACAACTGAAGGCATGTTTGTCACTTTTCTGTGAACACAGAAAGGGCACATGTTCTCTGGTCTTAAGGAGCTGCTGTGATTATGACATTAATGCACTTATGGTAATCGTTGTGGTGTAAAAAAACCTGTAGGCTTTAGAAAAATAAATCCGCTTCTCCAGAAAGTGGGCATTTGATATAGATACAATAACTACGGAGGTTGACATTGCTATTGTTATAGGACTAGTATATTTGTTTTCCCAAATAATGTAAAGAGCAGGGTTCCAACATTTTCATTGTATGACATAAACAAACAAATAAATAGGCACAACTTTCCCTGTAGAGCACTTTACCCGGATAATAGAATCTAGACTGGTTAGTATTATTTGCTACACATAAAAATTGCAGTGTGTCATTGCAGTCTGCTAATAACTTGTGATGAATTTTACTCACTGTGCTGTAGCAGTGAACGCTTAAGACATTTTGCAGCTAAATGGGGACTGGAGATTGATTAATAGTTAAGTGTTGGTATGGAACGTTACTTACAGCTACAGACAGCACGGGATTATCCTAGGAGTTTTGAGAGAGAGATGAGAGAATGGTGAAAGCTGGCAAACCCTTAAGAAAGGCAGCAGATCTGGAAAACTGTCTCTGATAAAACAGTGGAGGCCAAAATGGGAGAGTGGAAGTCCCTATGGGGCTTTGTGGTAAGGAGAGAAGGTCAGGGTAGGCATTGGCAAATATGGTAATAATTTTGTAGGAAACAGAAGTTTGCAGCAGCCTTTGGAATGAACGTGTAATTCAATTGGCTGATATTTAAGCAGGTAAGCCACAAGAAATGCACTAGTGTGTTATACCAGTGGCCCATCAAAATGGTTTCTATGAAGTACTTGAGTTGTAATAAATAAAATTTGATTTACAGATATATGTATTAGTATTTAGAGAATCAGGAAAGACTTAAAGTCATGCTGAATAGGCAGATGTCCGTGATGTCAATGCAAAGTGTAGTTGTTCTAAATGCAGAGGGCTGTCACAAGGGTCAAGAATATTAAAATAAAAATACTTTTGCAGGAGTAATTGCCTGCAAAATTTCAGTAGGTTGGTTAGTCTTAGGATTCTTCACTCAAAACCATGAAAAACATATATATTTTGTTTAGTCTGCTTAGACTTGAGATATATAGGTCTGCCTACATACTCACAAATGTCCTTTCTACCCATACTGCTGACCATGAAGTACTGCGATGTGGCCAATAAGAGTATTGGCTAAACACAAATAATAGATTCTTGCAATTTCTAGCTGCTCCTTTTTATAATCCAAATGCTCCCCTTTTATAGACATCACACCAAAACCACCACCCACAATGCTCCTGACAATCACCTAGTATTTCCTCCTAACTGAGCCTATACTAGTTTCCATAGCGACAGGAAGATAATATCAGGAAAATGAAACCCCATGTATTTAACTACATTTGTTCCCTTTGTTTTAGACATAACCAAAGCAAGAACCTATTCATGATAGAAGGAATCTGGAATAAATACTGACAATACTATCATGTTTGTTGTGGAGATACGAAACTGAGCTGCAACCAGTTAAATGTAATCCTTTGCCTCTAAATAGGGCTGAGCTAGCAAAAGCAGAAAGCAAAGCAAGCTGTTGCAATAGTTATGCAGTCGCCTCCTGTCTTAGCAGGCTTTGACAGCATCCCAGCACTGAAGCAAAATCATAAATAAAAACTTTACCTGTGCAAATCAACCACAAGCCCAGCTTTTCTAAAAGTACTGCCCTTGTTTGCACATCTTACACGGGAGGGAACCTCTGCACTACTTCCTTATTAGTTCTTAAGGAGGTGAATACAATCTAGCCTAGTAAGGCACACAGCAAGAGGATGAAGTACATCTTCTGCTGTGTTCATTTAGTTCTGGTTAACAGTTTTTAATTTTGGTGTGTTACCATGAACTACTGATGGACAAAACCATATGAATAATATTAATGGTAGAATCACAGAATGGTTAGGGTTGAAAGGGACCTTAATGTTCTTCTTATTCCAAGCCCCCTGCCATGGGCAGGGACACCTTCCACTAGACCAAGTTGCACCAAGCCCCGTCCAACCTGGCCTTGGACACTTCCAAGGATGGGGCAGCCACAGCTTCTCTGGGCAACCTGTGCCACGGCCTCACCACCCTCACACCCTCCTAATATCTAACCTAAACCTACTGTCTGTCAGTTTGAAGCCATTCCCCCTTGTCCTCTCACTACATGCCCTTGTAACAAGTCCCTCTCCAGCCTTCTTGTACCCCTTCAGGCACTGGAAGGCTGCAATAAGGATGCTCCAGAGCATCCTCTTCTCCAGGCTGATCAATCCCAATTCTCTCAGCCTTTCCTCGTAAGAGAGGTTTCTTTTTGATGTATGCATGTGCAAATTAAACCACTTTTAAAAGGATGACATTTGAAGATCTGTTATGCTGGTTTATGGTTATTTTTAACCAAATGTGGTAACAGACAGGACAAAAAGAAGAGTAAATGGATGATACTGTTTGTTTCCCCATAGGCTTATTTTTATGAATGCTGGAAAGTAGGCCAGGTTCCCTCACATCAGCAAGTCTTGCTCTTTCATCACAGCAGCACATAAAACCGTTTTAGAGACTGTTTTTCGTAGCAAAGATGGTAAGTCCCGTAGGGCAGGTGGAACAGAATATGTCTCTTACAGGCCGACTTGCTCTGCTGGGCATGAAAGGACGGCAACGGAGGAGGATGTTTCCACCTCGTATAGGGGAACCGAGCTCCGGCCGCCGCGAGCGCTGGGCGGGGGAGCAGCCCCGGCCCCGCCCGCAGCCCGCGGGCAGCGCCCGCCCCTCGCCCAGTCACGTCCCGCACGTCTCAGTGCGGCGGGGCCGCCACAGCGCGGGTCACGCGGGGCCGCGGCGGGAGCGGCCTCCACACCCCGCCCGCCCGGGGCTTCCCCCGGGCCGCACTCGCGGCGGACCTGGAGCGCCGGGTTCACTTCTGTCCCCCCGGAGAAGCTCGAACGGTTCCCTTATGAAGGAACAAGCGAGCTGCCAGCTAACTGGTTCTGGACGGGCGCTTCCTCACGCAGATGTCGGGACTCTGCACTGTAGGACTGCAGAGGCTGCCCTTTGAACATCTTTCCTGTCGACGCAGTAAAGTCGATTCACCGCGCCTGTGTGCAGAAAGCAGCACGGGGGTGAATGCCATAAGCCACTGAATATCCCTATCCGGCACTTTAAGCAGTCTGGAGAGATTGCCAGTTGCTATTTTTCAACAAAGCATGCTCATGTATTATTGCTAACTTTATGTTGCTACTAGATGTTTAATGCAAACGATCAAAATTTCCGCAACCCTTTCCCCCAACATTTTAAACATTCACTCCCAATGAAATGTTCTGACAGTTTGGAAGTAGTGCAAGTGACAATTCCTCCTACGCCCTGGACTCCAGTTTTTTATCTTATTGCTGTTCTTTATACATTTGAACTGAGATACTTTAATCAGCATTTCCCCTGTTATCATCCATACTAGAGAGTTGCCACTGTCACAAAGGATTACACTTTGTGTACCTACTCTGTACTGTCTAGTTTTTGCTTCAAAAAAATAAGCCCTTATTTGAATAAGGCTTTATAACTTCTATCAAACAGAAGTTACTGGGAAAAACAATTTTGAAGGGTGGACAGATCCCAGTGTCAGAAGTGCAGAGATGCATCTTAAGACTTATTTAGGAACCTAAAGCCTGCTGCAGAAATTGCCCAGTCTACCAAGCTATGTATTTTTACATATTCTTACAGCAATCAGCAAATGAGCCATCTGCAGCCTCAGATGACTGGTTTTGTTGAGGTATTCAGTTTCCCTTATTGTTAAACCATTTTATGTTCTAGTTGTATGGACTTAAGATGAATTGTTTTCTATCTGATTTCCAGAAAC